CCATAACATGAAAGGCACACGGATGGCAGGAAAGGCAGGGGCACCAGGCAGAGAGAAGTAGAGACACAAGTTGCATATGAGAGTCTTCTTGAGGTCAGGGAAGCGTGTTTTCTTTATCCTTGTCCACCCATGTCCTGATGCAAGGCCTGGCCCTTACAGCAAACATCAAGGCAGGGGAGACTCCCAGAGAAGCATGCAGGAAAGCCGAAGGGGAAAACATGGGGGTGGGAGATGGTTCCAGTTGAAGATCGGGTGCCAGCAATTAAAGGATGCGCGAGTTAATAAGTTGGAAGGAAAGTAACATTTGCAAGTCTCCATGCTATAGAAGCTCTCACAATGTAGGGGGAAAGGTAGTGTAATTTCTGAAACAGAATTGAGCATAGAATTTAAAAAATAAGTGTTTTTCATTTTTTAGTCAAAAATCAAAACCTCAGTGTTCTCTTTTTTAAAGATTTATTTATTTCATATTTTGGCTGTGGCGGGTCTTTGTTGCTGCACGCAGGCTTTCTCTAGCTGTGGTGAGCGGGGGCTCCTCTGCGTTGTGGTGTGTGGGCTTCTCATGGCGGTGGTTCCTCTTGTTGCAGAGCACAGACTCTAGGCACTCGGGCTCAGTAGTTCTGTCTGGAGGTCTCTAGAGCACAGGCTCAGGAGTCGTGGCGCATGGGCTTACTGGCTCCGAGGCATGAGGGATCTTCTTGGACCAGGGATGGAACTGGTCTCCCTTGCATCACAAGGCGGATTCTTGACCACTGGACCACCAGGGAAGTCCTAAAAAACTTCAGTGTTTTAATACAGAGAGTAAAATGTGAAAGTCTACCTCTGTGAGCTAGGCATCCTGCCCCTTCTCACTTCTTAGGCTTCTCTCTTTTTTTAAAAAAAAAAATGTTACACACTGCATTGGTTCCTTCTTTGACTTTACCATCTCCACCCCTGCCCCCAACATGTTTGTGCATTGTCTGTTCCTTAAAAAAAAAAAAAAAAAAAAAAAAAACGCACCAAGAAGAGCTCAGCTCTCACTGCTGTGGCATGTCTGCCCCATATTCAGATCTCAGATTACATCAGGAAGGGCATTCTACAAAATACCTGACTGTACCCTTCAGAAGTGTCCGGGTCATACAAAGCAAATGAACATGTACCCATTAGACAATGTACCCTCCTCCCACTCCTGAGCATCCACCCTTCTACTTTCTGTCTCTGTGAATCTGACTGCTGTAGGTACTGCATACAAGAGGAATCATATAATACTTGTCCTTTTGTGACTGTTTATTTCACTTCGTATATCTTCAGGATTGATCCATGTTGTAGCATGTGTCAGAATTTCCTTCCTTTTGGGGTGAAATTTGTTGATCCATTCATCATGATGCACTCTTGGCATCACTTCCATGTTTTGATTACAGCCAACAGTGCCTCTATGACATGGATGTACAAGTAACTCTTTAAGATCCTGTTTTTGGTTCCTTTGGGTATCTACTCAGAAATGGAGTTGCTGGATCATATGGGAGACTCTATATTCTCTGCCTTTTCATCTCCTGAAGCTGGATTCCTTGCTCTCCTTTGTTCATGGTCCTTCCTTCATCTTCTAAACCATCAGGGCAGTATCTTGTTCTGTGGTCACATTCTCTTTTTCTATCTCAGATTTCCCTCTGCCTGTCCCTGTGTGATTGTATTTAGGACCTACCAGGATAACCAACCCAAGATAATCTCATCTCCACGATATTTAATTTAATCACATGCAAAGTCTCTTTTGCCATATACAATAATATTCACAGGTTTTAAGGATTAGGACCTAGATATCTTTGGGGACCACTATTCAGCCTACCACACAAGCTAATAGAAAAAGCAAAAGGAACAAAGAAAACTATTGTAGAGAAAGACCCGTGAAAACACTGTTCCTAGAGATCACCACAGGAAATAAAATAGTATGAGACATAGTCTTCTAGATTTCTTGCCATGCATATACTAACACATGTACTTCATTTATTCCCTTTCCTTTTTGCAAAATTGAAAGTGGGATAACTTTTTACACAGTCCAGAAACTTGTGTCTTTCATTTAATAATGGATCTTTGTAGCAAGCTCTTTAAGAGTGGAAGAAATTTACTTTCATGCTACTGTCTTGTTTGATGTAAAAATAGCAATTTTCCAGTAAAGCAAGTGAACTTTCAGAAAAATTCTATTTGAAATAATCTCCTAGAAATGTCAGCGTTAACTTCAATTCATAAGAGGAAAGAGATATTTTGAATCAAAATAAAGGTGAAGGCCACTTAGGATTTAGTGTTTTGGGTGAATTAGAGAAAGGGCACTCTAGTTATATGTGCATACAGCATGACACCCTTGAAGGGTATGTTACTTTGTATGGTATGTTAATGTAAGAGTCAGTGCTTCTGATGTTCTGCCATCAACTAGCTGTGTGATCTTAAGCTATATCCAGTCTCTGGACCTCAGTGCATCCTTATCTTCGAAATGAGAGGATTGACCTGGAAGTTGTCTTAGCTAATGATCCTTCATTCTGCACTTTGAGAAGGGCACTATTTTAGCAGGTGTTAGAGACCCAATTTTGAATACCAGAACTTTTACACTTAACCATCTGTATCTGTGATTCTACATCAGTGGATTCAACCAACCACAGATGAGAAATATCCCCACCTCCCAATTCCAGAAAGTTTCAAAAAGCACACTGGCACCTATTTACATGGCATTTACATTGTTATTGTTGTTCAGTTGCTCAGTTGTGTCTGACTCTTTGTGGCCCCATGGACTGCAGCACACCAGGCTTCCCTGTCCTTCATCATCTCCTGGAGCTTGCTCAAACTTATGTCCTTCGAGTCAGGGATGCCATCCAACCATCTCATCCTCTGTTGTCCCCTTCTCCTCCTGTCTTCAGTCTTTCTCAGCATCAGGGTCTCTTCTAATGAGTCAGTTCTTCTCATCAGGTGTCCAAAGTATTGGATCCTCACCTTCAGCATCAGTCCTTCCAATGAATATTCAGGACTGATTTCCTTTAGGATTCTGGTTTGATCCCCTTGCAGTGCAAGGGACTCTCAAGAGTCTTCTCCAACACCACAGTTCAAAAGCATAAATTCTTTGGCGTTCAGCTTTCTTTATGATCCAACTCTCACATCCATACATGACTATTGGAAAAACCATAGCTTTGACTAGACAGACCTTTGTTGGCAAAGTAATGTCTCTGCTTTTTAATATGCTGTCTAGGTTGGTCATAGCTTTTCTCCCAAGAAGTAAGTGTCTTTTAATTTCATGGCTGCAGTCACCATCTATAGTGATTTTGGAGCCCAAGAAAAGAAAGTCTGTCACTGCTTCCACTGTTTCCCCATCTATTTGCCTTGAAGTGATGGGACCAGATGCCATGATCTTAGTTTCTTGAATGTTGAGTTTTAAGCCAGCTTTTTCACTCTTCTCTTTCACTTTCATCACGAAGCTCTTTAGTTCCTCTTCACTTTTTTCCATAAGGGTGGTTTCATCTGCATATCTGAAGTTACTGATATTTCTCCCGGCAATCTTGATTCCAGCTTGTGCTTCATCCAGCCTGGCATTTCACATGATGTACTCTGCATATAAATTAAATAAGCAGGGTGACAATATACAGCCTTGACTTACTCCTTTACCAATTCTGAACCAGTCTGTTGTTCCATGTCTGGTTCTAACTGTTGCTTCTTGACCTGCATACAAGTTTCTCGGGAGGCAGGTCAGGTGGTCTGGTGTTCCCATCTCTTGAAGAAATTTCCACAGTTTGATATTTACATAGTATTTTCATTGTATAAGGTATTATAGATAATCTAGAGATGATTTTAAACTGTACAAGAGGATGTGCATAGGTTATATGCAAATATCATACCATTTTAACGAGAGACGTGAACATCCTTGGATTTTTATATTCTTGAAGGGTCCTGGTATACCTTGGGGTGACTGTTCTGACTTGCTTGCTGTGCTAAACAGCCCCATTGGGCCTCAGTTTTGTTCTTCAGTCCTCCGTTGTCCCCTTCTCCTCCTGCCTTCTATCTTTCCCAGCATCAGGGTCTTATCCAATGAGGTGATTCTTCGTATCAGGTGGCCAAAGTATTGGAGCTTCAGCTTCAGCATCATTCCTTCCAATGAATATTCAGGATTGATTTTCTTTAGGATTGACTGGCTTAATCTTGCAGCTTGGTAAAATGAGCCTGCTGGACTAGAGTGTTCTCAAGATTGTTTCTAACTCTCACATTCTAAGACAGTTAGTCTCAAACTTAAGTGTGCCTAAGAATTCCCTAGAGCTTTGTTAAAATGCAGAGTCCAATTCAGCAGGTCTGGGATGGGGCCTGAGACTCCACATTCCTAGCAAGTGAAATTGACGCTGGTTTGAAGTGTACACTTAATGAAAAAGTATTTGGATTTTGAACTGTCAGGAAACTTTGTTAAAGGCTTGGAATTTGGCAAGAGATTAGCATGTGGGTGGTTTGCTGGTCTGGGGACTATCTGGTGCTGTGAGGTGTGCATATTTGCACACAGTGTCTTCTACTGTCCATACATAAACTCTTTTAGGAAAGTGGGTGGTCAGGTATCACACTTTCCTGACACCCAGCCCAAGTGTCAAGGGAGAAAAACACTGTATCTCCAGCTTTAGCCAGGTAATTCCCCTCCCAGAGCTAGACCATGGATGTGGTGGAAGAGGTTTTAACCACCACGTGGTCCATTAAGGATCAAGACGTTGAGAGAGGAGGCAGATGGACTTTGAACCGTGGCCTCAGGTTTCCTCCAGTGGTCTTTACACCACGTGCCGCCTAGGAGCACTAAGCTGATGGCTTTCACACGTCTGCTGCAAGAATCTGATACTTGTATGTTCAGAGTTTTGCAGTCGCCAAACTCTGGGTGGAGTACTGGATTCAAAGGCGGGGCTTGGAGCCGGAAGGCGGTGCCAGTGACCGAAGAGCGGAACCCGGGAACTGTAGTGTGGCGACCCCGGCCTCAAGGAATGCCGGGAGCCGGGACCAGGCAGCGCTCCGCCCCGTTCGGCTCAGCCACCGCCTGTCTGTGTCTGCGGCGGCCACTATTGATAAAGTTGTTGTTCTGCCAACATGGCGGCGCCCATGGTGACTGGCCGGGCCGTGTTCGCCTGAGGTGAGAACCGAGGAGTAAGGAGCCGCAGGCCAGAGCCTGTGAGCAGGTAAACCCGTGACCCGCGCTCAGCGGGACTCGAGATGCGACCTGATCTCCTCTCTCCGCAGACCGATAGATTTCGACTTGCCGGGAGCCAGAAGGGAAAGTGCGGTCTGGGTTCGGTGATCTCGGAGCTGTGCAGTTTCCTAATTGGAAAAGTCTCTGAGATCCAGATCTTAACACTCTTTGAGCCAGTGACTCCGTTGATAGCTCTGGGCCCTTTCCCAGAAAAACGCATATGTACGCAGAGTTTTGTACTCTAGTCCCTCTCTCCACTCTTCCACTACCCCGGTTGGTCCCTGAATCATGTCTGTGACCCACAGATGATCGTCACAGCATGTTAGGTCCTCAGAGATCATCTGGATTGACTCCTTCATTTTAAGGAGAAGCTGGTGTTCCGAACAGAAAATAATTTCTCCAAGGTCAGGTAGAGATTTAGTTGTTTGCACATAACTTGGCTCCTTGTTAATTTCCCAGGTACATTTTTGCACACTTTCTTTTGGGTGCACACTGTGTCCTCCTGTGCTTTTCTCACATACTGTTTATTTGCCTGTCTTTTCCTACTCATCTCCTAGGTTTCTCTGTCCCTATATGATTGTTGTTTTGGGTCCAGTTCTCAGGCCTCTCCTTCTATGGTCACATGCTGGTACCCCCACCATTCTCAAAAAGCTTAAACCCTCAGTGAGGTTGAGATCAGGGCTGACTCTTAAAGAGGGATAATGGGGATTGATGCTTTGGAAGGATGCGGTAGAAGAGACAAGGTTTCAAACATCTAGGCAAGGAACTGGATGTGACAGAGCTAAGGAAGAAGAGGGCCAAGTTATCATAACACAAAGCATGAGTCACACCTTTCATATTCATGGTAGGGGCATGGTGCTCTAATAAAATGACTGCTCCTTATCAGCAAGAGGCAGTGTCCATCAGGGCTTTGGTGGTGGCGTGGCCCATAGCAGGGCCTGGGAAGTAAAAGAAGGGAACTGAACTGAACTCCAGAGCTGCAGTAAATCATAACCCTGAGTGCACTATGTGCTGAGTCTGCCCGAGTTTTGGGGTTCCCCTAACATTAAGGGTGTGGACTTCTCTTAAAGGATCTTGACACATATATTACCACATTGCTCCCCAGGGAGATGGAATCAATTTACATTCCACCAGCAGTGTATAAAAATGCACATCTCTTTTCATAACAGATTTTTGCCAATGTGATAAGCAAAATATTTCCTTGTTATTTTAATGTGCATTTCTTTGTTTAGTTATAAAGTCATTCTTTTTTTCCTTATATTCGTAAGTCATTTGTATATCCTCTTTTTTCCTTTGCCGACTTTTAAAATTAGGTTTTTGATATTTCTCTTTTCATATGTGAATTCTTTATAGAGAAGGGTAATCTTTTTTTTTTTTTTTTTGGTAGTTTTAGCAGTTTTCTTTCAGCTTATTGTTTGCTTCTAATTTTTCTTTGTTTGTTTGTTTGTTTGTTTGACCACACTGTGTGGCATGTGAGATCTTCTAACCAGAGATCAAACCTGTGCCCCCTGCACTGGAATTGTGGAGTCTTAACAACCACCTCCAGGGGAGTTCCCAAATTCATGGTGTTTTTGATATGCAGATTTTAACATTTTTTAGAGAGTTTTATTAATATTTTTCCTTTACAATTCTTCCATTGCTTTTATGCTAGGACAGAACATCCTGCACCTTGTACAGAATTAGTCCATACTCTATTTTTTTCTTGTTTTATGGTATTTTTAAAAATTATTTAATCTATGTGATATTTACTGGGGACTTCCCAGGTAGCTCAAGTGGTAAAGAATCCGCCTGCCACTGCAGGAGACACAGGAAACCTGGGTTTGATACTTGGATTGGGAAGATCCCCTGGAGAAGGAAATGGCAACCCACTCCAGTATTCTTGCCTAGAAAATCCCATGGACAGAGGAGCCTGGCGGGCTGCAGTTCATGGGGTTGCAAAGAGTCAGACACAACTGAGCACACACGAGTGGAGTTAAACAACATCAAAACAAAGAACTTGTAAGACTGTGGTTCAGGCCAGTTTTGTATTTTTATAATTCCATCCTTTTCCATTCTTTCTGTTTCTCCTTATGTGTTCTTAAGGAATACAGTCTAAGAGAGAAATCGCAGGTATCTATGTGCCCTCTGCTAAATTAACATTCTTTAGCTTGCAAAGATATAAAAACACTGACTTAACTAGAGAACCATAAAGTCCATGACACTATGATAGTTCTAATTATGTAGAAATCGAACTCCTCAAAGTAAATGTAATTGCCTTAATTGTACAAATTGTCCGTATATATTAGATTGGTCATATGAAATTGCTGATAGTCAACTAATTATATAGTTTACCCTGCTATCATTAGTCAAATCTACACTCTTTAAAATAGAGAAGCCCGTTAGATAGGAAGGGAGGTGTTTTGTTTGTTTGTTATATTTGGTCTGTTTCTGATTCCACCCATAAAGAAGCAAGAGGGGTTGAGTACAGTGAGAACTGGTATGTCAAGAACTTTTGCAGACCAACTTGTAAATGTCAGCACTGGTGATGCCATTTTATGTTTGTGAAACTCACTTGTGTAAGTCTATAATGAGCCCTCTTGGCAGCATTTGTGACCTAGAACCTTTGCTAAACAGATCAGACCCTAGTGGATGTGGATAAAATTTTGAGAGGATCAAGAATTAATGCCAGCTTAAGAGTGCCAGTTTCTTCCTTCATTTTCTCTCTGGTTTTGAGAGATCTGTTTTCTGCATGGTAGCGAATGCTGTTATGCCGGAAGGCAGAAAGTTTAGGCTGTTTAGTCATACATCTTAAATATTTGATGAACTGTCACCTCAGTGATAAATCATGAAGCTTCCTCCATGAGGTTATTGTGAATTCACTGTTGGAGGAAACCAATGCAACATTTAAGCTGAATTTTGAATCGCAGCTGGATGTCTTGGTGAGCCCTGTGGATTGTTTTCCAAAAACCATAGTACTCATCACTGTTACACATGCTGGATATTTATTTGTTTCTTTCTTTTTTGAAGGTGGTGGGGGTATGCTTGCTAGTTTCTTCTGTACAGCAGAGTGAATCAGCGTTATGGATTTCCTCCTCATTTAAGTCACTACCGAGCACCATTGAGTAGGGTTTCCTGCGCTGTACAGTCTGTTGTGATTAGCTATCTGTTCTATGCACAGTAGTATACATGTCAATCTCAGTGTCCCAGTTCACACACCCCCCCTTCCATCATTTGTTCGTTTCTTACCTGCCTTTCTCTGCCAGTATATAAGTGCCATGTAAGAAGGGACTTCGTTTTTGTTCACGGCTGTATCCCCAGTGCCTGGAATAGTGTGTGGACCTAGTGACACTCAAATAAATATTTAGTAAATGAATGAAGAAGTAAGTGAATAAGAGTCTTCTAAATAATGGTATTTCCTGGCTCAGCCTACTGAGTATATTTAACTTGTCATATGTATGAAGGAGGCTGATCATAGCTCAGCATCTCCGGTCTTCCTGGGAGACCTGTGCTCAAGATCTCTTCTGATATTTGAGCCTAAGGACAAGCCCAGATGTGCTTAGAACTCTTTGGAAGCCTGGATGCTGGGATGTGAAGCCTGCTAGACAAACCCTGGACTGGCGTAGAGGCAAGGGAGGGGCCTCCGCTGCTCCCCACGCAAGCTCTGAGGTTGTGGCTGGTGCTGGCCCAGGGGGTGGTCTCCTTCTGTCCCTATGGGACTTTTGTATCTTTGCTGTTTGGGAGCATTGAACATCTTTAATATTTTCCATTAAAAAGATTGTGTTTAGCTTTACTGCACTTCTAAAGTTTTCCTTTCAGGGAAAGAAATCAAAATAAGAGGAAAGCCTGTGAATTCTGGCTGTGCTGAATGGAAGAAGGCACTCCGGGAGGTTCTGGGCAGCTCACCCATGTGTTCTCCATTCTCTCTTTCAGGCCCTTTCTACCTTTTAAAGAATGGCTCCTCCTTGGCAGAGACTGGGTTTATATGCCTTTCTTCTAAAACGACAGCTAAACGATGGGCCAGATGTCATTAAGTGGGGAAGGAGAGTGATTCCAGGATGGTCCAGAGGTATTTACAGTGCCACAGGAGAGTGGACCAAGGAGTATACATTGCAGACAAGAAAGGATGTGGAGAAATGGTGGCATCAGCGAATAAAAGACCAGGCCTTCAAGGTTTCAGAAGCTGATGTGAGTATTCTAAGAGATGCTGAAAGGGTTGAGAAGAGGGGCGAAGGGCGTGATCTGGGGTCAGATTGTCTGGATTCAAATAAGTTATTGAGTGTGTGACCTTGAACCAAAGAACCAAATCTTTCTAGGCGTCAATTTTTTTTTTTTAATTGAAAATAGGCAGTGATAATAGTAGTGCCCACCTGCTTCCCAGGAGGCTGGTGACGGGTCACTGGGATGAGACCAGGAGGGTGCTCGGAGGAGTCTCAGTGAGGTGCACGTTCACATAAGGGGCACACGGATGGTGCCACATCGGGCATTGTGGAGCCGCATTTACTGGGGGAGCTCACCCAGACAGGAGCTCCAGCAGACGTCAGCTTCTCTGTGGTCCGCTGCCTGGGGGGGCGACATGCAGGGATCTGGCAGGGTCAGATAGGAGACTCCAGGAAGGGCATGTGGGCCTCTCAGCTGTGGACTTTTTAAGTGGCATGTTCTGAGAACTGCCTCCTTTGCCCCTGGAATGATGTTGGTCTCCAACCCTGCTCTGCCATCTTGATTTGGGAGGTCCCAGCCCTTCCCTGGTGTAATCTGGAGTTGGGGTCCAACCTCACGGTCACAGATATATAAGTTAGTGGACCCTTGGCTTCTAGTCTGTCTGCACCAGCTCAGCGCTCTACCTGAATTCATTGTCTTAAGCACTTGGCTGTAACCGGTTTCCCTGGCATATTCTGCTGGAAGCCAGCTTCTTCTCTGGGAGGCCAGCCTGGTGGGAATCAATCTTAGATGTGTTAACCCTTACCGCTCAATATTGGTCACAATATGGAAGATGTGGTTTGGTACATGAAATGAATCTGATTAGAGTATACCACTGTTAAGTACAGTTTTATTCTTAAAATTCTGACCATCCTTTCATAATAGTTACCAGTCAAATAATATAAACTCTCTCTATGTTCAATTAAAGACATTAGGACAAAGGCAAGCAGTTGCGTAAATATATATTTGCTCAAGACTACAGTGTGCTAGAATCACCTTCTCTGATTCTCCTCTCTCATCAGACTCATTCTTTCTATGAGATTGATCATTATGAAAAATGGGGGGTGGGTAGCTATTTGTGTTAAACTGAAGGATGGTTTTTTGCCTTAGTTACGAAGAAAATCTGGTATTGAAAGATAAGTAATATGTGATATGATAAAAAGGAAGGTTTAAATGAAATGCATAATTATACAATGAAAGCTTAACTTTTACCTCATTAGGAAATGAAAATTCTTCATGGCAACATGACCAGATTAATGTAGCTAAATGTATTTTGGAAGCAGACCTTAGGGAGAAGTTTAATTCTGAGTGAGGAGCATAAAATTAGCTTCTTTTTCTTTTTCCTTTTGGTTTAGATTCAGTGGCCTCCAAACATTTTGAAGTTGTAGCTTTTTGTTCTTGTGACATTGCATTCTTAAGTGTATGGTTTTCTAAAAAATTAAATGGATCAAAATAAACTATGCTTGACTAATTGGGTAAATAGCTTTATGAACATTTTGGGTGTTCCCCATGTGGCATTCCGTCAGGGTTTGAATTGGGAAAGGGTAAAGTGGAGAGAATGCTAGATAAGGAGTCTGGAGCCTGGGCAGTAATTCTGGCTCTGTTCCCAAATCACTGTGCTCTCAGCAGCATCGCTTCACCTCTCTGATCCTCAGATTCTTTGCATTGTTTATCCCACAGAATTGTTTTGAAAATCAAAGGAGAAAATAAGATTAAACTCATTTTACAAACTGAAGTGTTATATAAATGAAAGATGCATGCTAAGTCACTTCAGTCTTGTCTGACTCTTGGCGGCCGTATGGACCGTATCCTGCCAGGCTCTCCTGTCCATGGAATTCTCCAGGCAGGCATACTGGAGTGGGTTGCCATGCCCTCCTCCAGGGCATCTTCCCAACCTAGGGATCGAACCCACACCTCTTATGTCTCCTGCATTGGCAGATGAGTTCTTTACCCCTAGCAGCACCTGGAAAGCCCCATGAGTGAAAGATACAAGAAGATAAAAATGTGTGGTGTATCTTTGACAGGAATGAGCATATGACTAGATGCTGGTAGATTTTAAAGCATATCTATGATCAGTCTTACTCTGGTAGTAGCTACATTTGAAATATACTGGAAATGAGTTTCTAGAAGTTGAATGTTTTACCCTCATCATCATCATCATCGTTATAAAAAGAACTTCCATTTAGTGAGCATTTTAGTGTATCAGGCACCATCTTTCCTTTCATTATCTCATTTAAGTTCTGAAACAACCCTAGAGGTGCATAGTAGTATCCTCATTCTGGAGTAAGAAAACTGGGAGGGAAGTTTGGTAAGTTGTTGAGATGCAGAACTCACTTGCTGTTGTTCAGTCACTAAGTCATGTCTCACTGTTTGTGACCGCATGGACTGCAGCACGCCAGGCTCCCCGGTCCTTCACTATCTCTTGGAATATGCTCGAGCTCATGTCCATTGAGTCAGTGATGCCATCCAATCATCTCACCCTCTGTCCTCAATCTCACTTGTGGCACAGCCCAGATCCAGACATATTTGAGTCCTAAGCTCATGCTTTCACCAGGAACCTTCTTTTATCTCACCTTTGATTTATGGATTGTGAACTGAACCCAGAAAAACAAAGGAATTTGCCTGAGGTCTCACAACTAGTGGCAGAGCTTGGACCAGATCCCAGGCTGCAAGCTTCCACTGAGTGGTCCACCTCCCTCCATTCTCTAGTCTCAGGGAGAGTTTCAGAGCACGATCCATAAAGAGGCAGAAGTTATCTTTCTTCTGATGTCAAAAGCTGGCAAAAATAATAGGACCCACTTATATAAAAACCATCCATTTTCCATCACTTCCAATCTTAATTTCTATTAAAGGCTTAAATTATTACACTTTTATATAATTATGAAAATGTCCCTTTCAATCAGATTCCTGCTCAATTATAAACTCCCCAAATCCGTTCCTCTACCCTCGGAGATTAGAATTCATTTCATTGTCACAGAGGAAAATGACTTAGTTCACACAGAGAAACAGAAGGCAGGGACAAGCAGTGAGCTGAACACCTTTTCTGCAATAAACAAAAGTATTCATGAATAGTAAAAACTTTTGCTAGCAGTACTTTTCTGTATCTTCTGTGGACTCAATACTCCGAAATCACTGCAGATGGTGACTGCAGCCGTGAAATTAAAAGACGCTTGCTCCTTGGAAGAAAAGCTGTGACCAACTGAGACAGCATATTAAAAAGCAGAGACATTACATTTTGCCGACAAAGGTCCATCTAGTCAGAGCTATGGTTTTTCCCAGTAGCATGCATGGATGTGAGGGTTGGACTATAAAGAAAGCTGAGTGCCAAAGAGTTGATGCTTCTGAACTGTGGTGTTGGAGAAGACTCTTGAGAGTCCCTTAGACTGCAAGGAGATTCAACCAATCCATCCTAAAGGAGATCAGTCCTGACTTTTGATAGGATTGATGCTGAGGTGAGGCTCCAATACTTTGGCCACCTGATGTGAAGAATTGACTCACTTGAAAAGACCCTGATGCTGGGGAAGATTGAAGGCGGGAGGAGAAGGGGACCACAGAGGGTGAGATGGTTGAATGGCCTCACCGACTCAATGGACATGAGTTTGAGTAAGCTCTGGGAGTTGGTGATGGACCGGGAAGCTTGGTGTGCGGCAGTCCATGGGGTTACAAAGTCGGGCATGACCGAACGACTGAACTGAACTGAACTAGCTCGTATGTAATGAATTCCTCAATTTTGCCATAAGTTTCATCTTTCTTGAAGAGACATAAAAAAAAGATATTAATGAAGAAGCTATATGTAGCAAATGTTTGAGATAAGATTGTTAAATAAACAATTTTTAAAATAAATTTCATAATAAAAACAAGGTGACTATAATAAAAATGCATTTAATGTAAAAACTTTAAAATGAAAAACTAGAAATAGTGTATATCAAATATTTTATTGTTTTTTCAGGTCCCAAAGAACTCTGTAACAACTGTTTTCTTATGTCCCTTAAAAATCCCCCAAAAAGAAACAGTAGGCCTAATCTATGTCAACGAGTAAGGTGGAATTGAGTGGATAGTCTGCTTATTTCTCATTCTGTACCAAGTATCAGAATGAGGTCTTGCACTTTCTTTGAGGGAGTTGTTTACAAGCTGAGAGGATCGTCCGTCACTTGCCTTCTTAAGAAGAAAGTCCTGAGTCCCCAGTGACTCCTGAATCTCAAGTTGTCTCTCTTGCTTCTGAGATTTTCCTGAGTTATGGTTCCACAGTTTCCAATTAAAGTGCGTGATCAATGTGGGGCTTTCCAGCCATTTCTAGAAATCAATAGCAGCTGTCACTTTAGTATTACAGGTTTCCAAGTTTATTATGCAAACTCCTTATTTATTCACTTTCCCTTCCCTCCCTTCAGGCAACTTGACTTACCACACACTTGATAATTTCTAGAGGAAGTGCAGTATAGAGAAAAGTGCCACTCTGGTCTGTCTTGCCACACGATAGTGGCCCTGCTGAAGATTTGTTCACCTTCTTTGCTGAGGGAAGTTTAAAGCAAGGGGTCAAGTGAGATTTGGAAAGAATTTCTGGTTTCTTCTGCTTCCCTGATTACAGTTGGCTGTCAATTATCAGTCATGCAAATAAATACTTAGCAAAAATTACTCCCCTCCCCCAATACCCACTCGCACACATAAGAATGGTCATGAATATTCTGTTTTGCATTTGTTTTCATTAATTTTGGAGAAGCAAAGCCTTGACGACTTCTTGTAGAGCTTTCGGAAGGGAGTAAGGACAGAAAAAGAGAAACAGGAGAAAAAAAGTAGTGATAACATCAGAGGATCCAGACACTTAGTGACTAAACAGAAGCAGTTACCTGTTCTCTTCCTTTCTTCAGAGGCATCCCTTCTCCCCCGTGCAAGGATTTAAGGCTGGGTGTGGGTGACGCTCCTGTCACCTGGACAGGGTAGTTAAGTGTGCCGGGAAGAGTGCCTGTTAGTAATCAGTGATCTCCAAAGGCCTGTTCTCAGGCTTCAGAGCACAAAGGCCTATAGACATTTACCCAACAGTTTGTTAAACTAGGGGGTCAGCCAGGAAGGTGGGGATTGGGGTGGGGTTAGATGGTTAAAACATGATCCTTGCCCTTGAACAACAATTCCTTAAGGTCCCCAATAAGGAATCAATTAAATGACTACCCCCTTTGCAGCCTTCCCCCCTCGTGTGCACAAACTTGTGTCGACATTCCCCATAATAAGAACTAAGGTCCCGAAGGTTGACGTTCCAGTGAGGACGTTCTGCCCTGTGCTCGTTTGTGTTCCAATGCATGTACCTTTTTTCTGTTTCTCGTGATGAAACTGTGCGTCTTTGGATGCTGGAGAGTTACATAACCCTGGCCTGAGGCTGCCTGTAGATCACCCCATGGGAAACAGCAACCTGGCTAAGATTTTTCATTACCTTCCCATTTCAGCTTGTCTGTTGAAAGATAAGCTCACAGTACAGAGAAACCTGGAACCTGAACCCGCACCTGGGGCCCCTGCTCAGTCCAAATCTGCATGCAGCTTCCCGGAATTTAGAGAGGGGCTCCATTTTAGACTTGTCACCTCTCTATGATTCACTGTTGTCTCCATGAATTTTATGGGCACATGTGTCAGAGCTTCATTTGGAAAAACATACAGTTCTTTAAGTCCTAGATAGCTGTGCTAAAAGGGCAGATTTAAAAATAACTAGGGGTAATTAGCACTGTGAGGTTGTTGGGCATTGTTTTGGACATTCTTTAGCATAACTCAGGGCTTCGAATTTTGGTATGTGGTATTTTTGTCCATTTACCTTATGAGAATGGGTTTTTTTTTTTTTAAAGAAAACTTTTGAAAATGTTAAATTATTACCTTGAGTAAAATGCCAAAATATTATATGCGTGCCTAGTTCCCTGTGAATGATTAATAAATACTCATTGTATTTTTCTGTCATCCTTTCCTAGAAATCAAAGCCCAAGTTTTACGTGCTCTCCATGTTCCCTTATCCCTCTGGCAAGCTGCACATGGGCCACGTGCGCGTGTATACCATCAGCGACACCATCGCACGCTTCCAGAAGATGAGAGGGATGCAGGTAAGGCCAGGTGCCTGCTGAGGCGGCACTGTCCTGCCCCGCTCAGGACAGTAAGAATGTGGGACAAAGGAGACACCCAGTCTCAGTTAAGATTAGGGCAACTTTGAAGATAAATATGAGAAGCTTAGGGTTTCCTCTGATGAACTGGAGGACATAATAAAGCATCAGGATTAATTGGGGGGCAGCTGTGTATTGGGTATTGTGCTGGGGCGGGAGGTTGGGTGCTGATGCAGTGGAAGCGTTTATGCCTGTGGGTACCATGTTGATACCACCTCAGAAGGAGTTCACAGTGTGGTGGGACTGTTACCCTCAATAGACAGACACTGGAGAGGGGAATGAATCCAGTAGAACGAAAGAGGAGCAAATGCTGTGAGTAGGAGGTAGAGCCCCAGAGAAATTTTTCTCCTTGTATTTTGATATTCTCTGTATTCTCTAATGAGCACATATTTATCTTATAATGGAAAAAGTCAAATTTTCCTAACACAAAAATTTGGAGGGAAGTAACAGCCCTGTGGGAGCTGGGAAAGACTCCTTCATAGGGGACCATCTGACATGGGTGTTGATGGACAAGGTGAACTTTCCTGGGAGAGGAAGAGAAGAACACTTCCATGGCTGATGTGGGTCAGACCCCTTTCACCGCCAGCTACCCAGAGCCTGCACTTCACTCCTTAACAGCACATCGTCTGTAAGACAAGGCAGCAGTGGTTGTAGTAGCTTCTTGAACAACTTCCAGAGAGAGGTAGCATCTAAGAGGGGCTGAAAGCGTGGACCCATGAATCAAATAGCCAGCACTGAGCTTCTAGCTCTTAACACTCAGTAAGTAGTCAATCTCGGACTCATTACTGATTAACCTCTCTAAACTAAGACCTAGTTTTCTCTCATCAGTAGAAAGGGGATAAAATAGTACTTGCCCACTGGCCTTTCCCAAGGATTTAAAGATGATGACTATGAAGCACTTGGTGCATAACTGGCGCATAAGCACATAACAAGTAAATACTGTCGTCATCAGCAGATGGCTGGAGCCTGCCGTACCAGGTCCTGAGAGCCGTGCACACCTCTGCCCAACTTCGTGTTAATTATTTGTCACCTTAGTAGCTCAAAATCCACCCAGGATGGGAGTATTTACATCATGGAGATCAGCAGAACCTGCAAATCAGGGCTTTTTCTGCTAGAGAGTCTATTGTTAAACATTTACCTGCACTCCCCCTGGCTGTTGCTGTTATTAACCTCTTAGGGTCTGTATAAAGGGTATCTGTTGCCTCCTAGTTCTTTCTGAAGATTTTCTTTTAAAGTGGTAAGTGCATCCATTGTCATAATTGGTTTGAAAATTTGTGCCGAGCTGACCCTGGCAACAAGAAGTATTCCTAAAAAGGAAGTCAGGGTACTGTGTCTCTCTGTCCCTCGAAGAGTTAACGACTTTTGCTGTCAGATTCAGAGATCTGCCTTCTACCAGGGCCGTCTCCCTAGGCTCTGCCAGGTGTTATTTTCCCCCCGTATTGCTTTCCATCACTTCTGCAGTGTTTATTGGAAAGAGGTGGTGCAGAATAAACTGGCTCTTGTCAGGAAGTATATCTAACTGTGCTTCTTCAACTAGATTTAATCTTGTTTTTTTTTTTAACTTAAGCCAACTTGTTTTGAACAGTTAGTGAGTACAGGCAGTTGCTACAGACTAAACTTTCATAGCAAAACTGTGTGTTTATGGTACATTAGCAGATAGGTGGTTGAGGGGGTGTAGGTGGAACTCTGATTCTCTTGGATGAATGAGACATTACAGACAAAGCTCCAGGCAGAACCCCAGGCCCAGACTTACTGGGACCCTTATAGGCAGCTCAAGCCCAAGAGACAAAATGGAGTCCCTTACCAGTAACCGAAACCCAAGGTCAGGCTGAACTCAGGGATTGGGCAACCCAGGTTTGACCCTCTTAACACCACTTTCTCAGTGAGTGACCTTGCACGAGTCATTGAATCCCTTAAAATAGGGATAATCTTTATTCTTCCCTCCTGGGTTGTTGTTCAGGATAAATGAGACAGTATATGTGTCTGGCCAATAATAATCCCCTAAAAAAGGTGGATGGCTCCAGAGTCACTGCAGACGTGACTTAAGCCAGAAAATTAAGATGATTGCTCCTTGGAAGGAAAGCTATGGCAAACCTAGAAAGTTTATTAAAAAGCAGAGACATTACTTTGCCAACAAAGATCCATATAGTCAAAGCTGTAGTTTTTCCAGTAGTTACATATGGATGTGAGAGTTGAACCATTAATAAGGCTGAGTACTGAAGAATTGATGCTTTCAAACTATGGTGTTGGAGAAGATTCTTAAGAGTCCCTTGGACTGCAAGGAAATCAAATCAGTGAATACTAAAGGAAATCAACCTTGAATATTCATTGGAAGGACTGAAGCTGAAGCTGAAGCTCCACTTCAGTTTGGCCACTTGATGCAAAGAGCTGACTCATTGAAAAAGACCCTGATGCTGGGAAAGATTGAGGCCAAAATGAGAAGGTTGCTGCAGAGGATGAGTTGGTTAGATAGCAACACCGACTCAAGGGACATGAATTTGAGCAAACTGGGAGATAGTGAAGGACAGGGAAGCCCAGTGTGCTGCCATCCATGGGGTCTCAAAGAGTTGGACACAGTTTGTTGACTGAACAGCCACAAATGGTTATTTTGTAAGTAAGTAAGTCAGATCAGTATAAATGCCCTTCTTGAAGGGATCTTCCTGACCCAGGGATTGAACCTGGGTCTCCCGCATTGCAGACAGATTCTTCACTGCCTGAGCCACCAGGGAAGCCCTGCTCTGGGAAATCACGTAATAAATGAAATTAATCTAATTCATTTAATAAATGACTGTGTACTCTCTTCTGCCCACTGCATGGATTTGCCTTTTGAGAAGCATCCAGACATTGCCTGCTATTTGTATCATCTATCCTGTGACTCGGTTGGTGCCTAAGATCACCCTGTGTTATTTGGTTTATGGTATCTTAGTGACCAGCAGGCACCTCGGGTTCCCTGCATTCCTGTTTCAGTTGCTCTCTTTAAGATGATAAACTGTCTGTGGAGTGGGAGGGTATTCTGCAGGTTCTCCTGAGATTAATTTCTTGTTAATTTTCATAGCCCGTATTTAAGTCAGATCATCCCCAAAATAACTGCCAAATATGGTGAAAGATTTGCCCTGCCATTTCTAAGTTATCGTGGCAGAAAAGACACAAACCTCTGTCAACAGAGATGGTCAACCTTGTGAAAGCCTGTTGAACTTCCTGCTGTTTTAAAATCCTTCTCTCCCAATGTCAGGATTAGTCCCAGGGATAGAGCAGGGTTGGGTGCAGGTCAGATCTCAATGATCCTGACTCTAAGGAGGGAAGGAATATCTGATCTGGAGTAAGAGCATCTGACATGTGTATTGATTAATTCATTAGGTACATAGTCCTTGGGCACCAACTTTGTTCGAAACACTGGCCTTTCTACTGTACTATGGAGCAGGACTGGAATCTTAGGTTCAAAGTCTGTCAGTAAGCCTTCTTCTCTCACTTGTTGAGTTGTTCTTCTTTGCTGTGCTGAGTCTTTTCTTCCCGCGTGGGCTTTTTTCTCTAGTTGCAGTGAGTAGTGCTGCTCTGTTATGGCGCGCCAGCTTCCCAGTGCAGTGGCTTCTCTTGTGGAGCGCAGGCTCTCGGGCGCACAGTTTCAGTTGTTGCAGCGTGCAGGCTCAGTAGTTGTGGCACATGGGCGTAGTTGCTCCATGGCATATGGGATCTTCCTGGACCAGGAATCGAACCTGTGTCTCCTGCATTGGCAGGTGGTTTCTTTACTGCTGAGCCACCAGGGAAGCCCTGATTTGCATAATTCTTGAATGGAGGTATGGGAGTCATTCTGAGGCATGCTAGGAACAGCAGATGGGAAGTAAAAGGTGGGCTGACCTCTGCGCCAAGCCTACAGTCTCCTACGCCACCAGTGACCTCCCTGGATGTGTCTGTCCTCATCCTTTCTCACCTCAGCGGCATGTCATGCAGTGGACCACGTTCCCCCACTCCGTGAAAGGCTGTGCTCTCGGCACGAGACCCCACTCTGCAGCTTTTTCTTCTGCATCTTGCTCTCTTCCTCTCAGTTTGCTCCACGGGGTTTTCCTGCTCTGCTCCGTCTCTGCATCCTCTTATCCAGTTGGAAAGTTCTGTACAGGCAGACCTCGGCGATGGTGTGGGTTTAGTCCCAGACCACTGCAATAAAGCATATGTTGCAATAAAGCGAATCATGTGAAATTTTGGTCCCAGTGCATTTAAAAGTAATTTTTACATTATACTGTGGTCTGTTGTGTGCAATAACATTATGTGTTCTAAAAAATGTACATACCTTAATTAAAAATAATACTGTCGGAAAGTGCTGCCAATTGACTTGCTCAGCGCAGGATTGCCACAAGCCTTCAGTTTGTAAAAAGCACAGTATCTGTGAAATGCAGTAAAGCAGAGTACAGTGAAACGAGGTTGTCCCTATATTCCTAGTTTGCTGAGAATTTTTCTCATGAATGGATATTCATTTTTTTACTATACCTTTCTGCATCCGTTGAGACAATGCATGATTTTTCTCCTTTAGTCTGTTAATGTGATATATTATGTAGATTGGTTTTTAATATCAAAGCACCCTTGTGTTCCTAGGATAAAGTTGATTTGGTCATGATGTACTTTTGTGTCTGTATTGCTGTATTCATTTGTTAATATCCCTGTGTGCCTGAAGGCCACTGCCCTGTAATTATTTTTTTTTGTTTCTTGTAGTGTCTTTGTATTTAATATCAGGGTTATGCTGGCCTCGTAAAACAAGCTAGAAAGTGTTCCCTTCTTCCCATTTTCTGAAAGTACTGTGTGTTACTGGTGTTATTTCTAGCTTTATTGTTGAATAGCATTCACCAGTGATGGTATCTTGACCTAACATTTTCTTTGTGGGAAGTTTTAAAATGACATTTCTATTTATTTAATGGATATAGGGCTGTTCAGATCTTCTGAGTTTCTTTTGT